CATACTGTGCATATCAGGCACACACAATACACATAAACTTTAATAAATGTGTTTTAAAAGTATATTAAGCTGGGTGTGGTGGCTCATGCCTTTATTCTCAGTACTTAGGAGGCACAGGCAGGTGGGTCTCCGTGAGTTTGAAGCCAACCTGACCTATACAGTGAGTTCTAGGCCAGAAAGAGCTACCTAGTGAGACTCTGCCTCAAAACAAAACAAACAAACAAAACCACAAACAAACAAACAAACAAAAGAATGCTCACGATCAACCTTACCTGTTTCTTTGCCCTTTTCCCCAGGGCGGCTACTAAAAAAAATCAAAAGTGTCACATGTGCTTGCCATAGATTTCTTTTAAGCCCTCTAATTCATGGCCCTACTTTCTGGAGCGGTCCCTGTGGTCTGGATCTGGATAGACTGAAGGGGAGACACCCTCTTGTCGGGGACCAAGGAGCTGAGAGTAACTGTCCCCACATCTAGGGTTCTGGAGCAGCCAGCCCCCAGGAATTGTAGCTCAGAGTGAAGTTAGCCTAGTAATGATGCAGGTCGCCCTCAACTTGGAGACCCCTTCAACTGGTAATGAAGAGAGGGAACTTGGGGCCAAGAGACAGTGGTAGTTTCAATGTAATTGACCCCCATACTCTCATTGGGAGTGACACTATTAGGAGGTGTGGCTTAGTTGGAGTGGTTATGGCCTTCTTGGGGGACGTGTGTCACTGTGGTTGAGGTTTCCTATGCCCAGGATACTGCCCAGTATCTTTGTCGGCTTCCTGTTGCCTGCAAGATGTAGGGCTCTCAGCTCCAGCACCTCGTCTGCCTGCACACCGCCCATGCTCCCCGTCATGATGATAATGGACGGAACCTCTGAAACTGTGAGCAAGCCATCCCAATGAAATGTTTTCCTTTGTAAGAGTTGCCATGGTCATGGTGTCTCTTCTCAACAGTAAACACCTTAACCAAGACAGAGACAGACCTAGTTCTTGCAGCTAGATCTCAAAACCAAGGCTTGGTCACAAGGACTAAGCTGGGTGCTCCAAGCCCCGCTAAACATTTCGGGTAGGAGCTATGGAGAGTTAGGGAAGAAAGTAGACAGGGTTCTCATCCTTCCCAAAGCCACCCCCCCAAGGTAGGACCCCCCCAACACCCTGTTCTCCCCTCTCACCCTATGAGCCAGGGTCTTCTCCCAGTTGGCAGCCCTGTGTGTGAGGCTAGCAGAAGACTCTGGCTCAAGGTTGAAGGCAGATAAGGATGCACATAGATTCCTGGTGGTCCAGTACCACCCCACCCCCACCCCTGAGCCCCAGTACCAAGGTTGTGCAAGCAGCAGGCTGTCCTGGCTAAATTCCACCTCTGTCCCAATGCTTGATCCACTAACTCACAAAAACAGGTCAGAGTACTAGTGCAATCCTCAATAAAGCCAGCTTCCTCCACTCACACGCAGGGAAGGCTCTGTTTACCATGCAAACAGGACAAAGTCCAGGCTACGTCCCTGTGAAGCCAGCCCTACCTTGTCACTGGCTTTTTAAAAAATTATTCCTTTTGATTTTTTTTTTTTTTTTTTTTTTTTTTTTGGAGAGACAAGGTTCCTCTGTGTAGCCCTGACTGTCCTGGAACCCACAGGCTGCCCTCAAATCCACCTGCCTCTGCCTACCAAGTGCTGCAATGAAAGGTGTGTGTCACCACTGGTGGGCTGTCACTGGCATTTTAAAGCGTGAACCGCCTTCACATCTTCAGTGATCAGTGGTCATCACCATCCTGCTGAAGTTTGGTCCTTGCTTCTAGCAAAAGAAGAGAGGCTCACTGAAAAGGCCTCCACATTTGGTTCCTTTACAGGGTTTCCTGAAGGTTTGGTTTGACCAGCCAGGGACTCTTTGGGGGCAAACACTTGAACAGGAGATGACACAAATCTTACAAAGGTTTTCCCGAAAGCCGATGAAGGCCTGGGTTAGCTCTGGTTAAACACACACATATGCATACATGTCCACACCCTCTATTGTATATCAAAGCACATGCTATCTTTAAATTAAAGAGAGAATCTCCTTTTAAATATTTACTTGTGGCACTGTAAAATGACTCAGTGGGTAAAGGTATTTTGCTGCCAAGCCAGATGACTTCAGTTTGATCCCCTAGGCCCACATGGTAGAAGAAGAAACTGACTCCCACAAGTTGTCCTGATCTCCATGTGCTGTGACATGTATGTATGTGTTCCCTGATAAGTAGAAAGTAAAAACAAATAAACAAATCTATTTAATACCCGCTTCTCCTTCCCAGATACTCATTTTCCAGTTCCAGCCAGGAGGCTGTGGAGAAATCCCCTGGGCCTGAAGGCTTTTAGGGGTATTTCATTTGTTCAGACTCCTCCCCAGGGCGTGAGGACCGGTTAGAGAAGGGTGACCCATTCTGCTTCTCTGAGATACCAGAGAGGCACTGTCTGCTTTATTAGATATAAGGTACCAGGGTTGAAGTCAAAAGCAGGGGAACTAACCTCCCATTACAGGTTAGAACCCCAGGACCGGTGGAGTTTGGGGGCAGTTCCTCACACGTGGCTCCCAGGGACTCCTGACTTTCTCCAGGTCTCCAGCCTTCCTTAGGCCACTCCAACCTTCATTCCTTCCTCTAGAAGGGTCCCACAGGATCATCCCAGGTGAAACCCAAGTCTTTCTGCCCCGCAGGGAAACAGTACTAAGACAGATGGCAGGATGCTGTTTGCTGCATCTGTTCGCCAGCTGGGAAGCAGAACCCAGACTTAGTACAAAGACCTTTTCAACCACATACAAGATACAACAGGCAACTTAAACCACAACTAGCATGGATGCTGTGTAAATCACCCTTTAGACCAGAGGCTACAAGCTCAAGCGGTACTGTGAGTGAGGTGCAGGGGGAATGGGTGTAGTGGGTATTCCGACAGCAATCCATGACTTTGGGCTGTCTGACCCCATAGAGACAGAGCTTTGTAACTCTTTAAAAAGGCAGAGGGGGCAGGCAGGCTCGCTCGCTCTTGTGTGGTGGTTGGATCGGATCGCTGCTTCCATTCACTCCCATGGTAGAACAGAAGACCGCGGCAGCTCTCCACCTTGTTATCAATCATGAGTGTTCCCTAATAAATCTTTGATATCCTTTCTTTGGGACTCTCGTGAATTCACATACATTCGCCTACAGATGGGGCTCCAAGTCTGGGCTGGAGAGAAAGGTACATCCTTCCTTAAGGAAACTTGACTGATTTAAATGTGCGTTATCCTAAATTTTAAACATGGGTAGCAAATACGAAAGCTTTTTAACCCTGTAACTTCCACCTTAGACAAATTCCCAACGTAAATTTCAAGTCCCTTTCCTTGATGCAATAATGAAACTCGAACTGAAATATTACATAGGATTGGTAGGTCAACATTGTAACAGATATATAACAGCATCAAATACACCACTCTCCCCATTTAAGAACAACTTTAAATCAAAATAATTCACAATTCTTTTTGTTGTTGTTTTTTTTTTTTTTTTTTTTTTTGGCTTCCTATTTGTAATTGCAGGTGATGGCAAATTTGAATTTGACTCCCCTCTCCTTACCTCCCAAGAACTGGGATTGCAGACATGTGCACCTCATCCACTTCATATAGTGGTTGGGATCAAACTGGCATGCTAGGCTGTCCCTCTACTAACCGAACTACACCCCCAGCCTCTAGTTCATACTTGAATAAAATATGCCAGTTGGGACCATTTCACGTGGGACAACCTTGCATTACTATTTTTTTTTCTATTTTTTTCCAAGACAGGGTTTTATTGTGTAAGAGTCCTGGCTGTCCTGGAACTCACTTTGTAGATCAGGCTGGCCTTGAACCACTGAGATCTGCCTGCCTCTGCCTCCCAAGTGCTGGGATTAAAGGTGTGCACCACCACTGCCCGTCAGCCTTGTATTATTAAAATGATGTCTGCTTCTACCTCATGCCAGGAAGATGCCAACCCCCTGCACCACACTCTCTCCATGAGACTGAGAGGGAGTAGGATCAGGCTGTGGATCACCAAGAGGAAATCAAGGCACAGAGTAGGGAGGGTCCCCTCCCTTGGTACTGTCACAGAAAGAGTTGAAGTTAGGACTTCAAGGGTTGTAGCTCCTCACAGGGAGCTATGCAAAGCCATGCGGGTCTATCCACTTCTCTCTGACAGTACCTTCTCACATCAGGGAAGCCACTAGGGCCTTCCCCTTCCAAAGACTGAATTCTCCAGGAGCAGGCAGGGACAAGAGGCAACTGGTAGGCTCTGTAGAGTATATCACCACCCTATGTGACTCAAAGACTCTGAGGGAAGATTCCAGAATATTTGGGCTAGGACCCGCGATCTAGTACAAGTCAGGGGGCTGAACACCCTTGGTGATATAGGCAGCTCCCAGCAAACTTTTCTGCAAAGGATTTGGCACAGTAATCAGTGTCCACACGAGAAAGACAGAGGCCACTTTTTCCTATAGAATGCAAGGTGCTTTTGGTCCTGGCCCTGCAACACACAGACCATCTTGGCTCTGGCCTGGCAGGACCCCTCACTGCAACAGTCAGGCTTTCATTTTGGCTTGTTCTAGGAGCCAAGGTCCCAAGAAACCTAAGGGAATCTCTTCACAGAATGACAGGGAGAAGGGATTGGCTCTTCCATTTTTCAAAACTGTCACAACTGGTATTCTGTGTAAACCAGTTATTTGTGGTTGGGCCATCATACACACTGTGAGATGCCCACTAATTGCCCCACACACAGGTTTCCAGTGTTGCCTGAGGCGCAGCCTATCACTGGATGGAAAGCCACTGGGATGGTCGTCCCCTCAATCATCCTGGAAACAGAAGCCCCAGACACTGAGTGACATGTTTGCAAAGTGGTTCAGTGTCTCCTTGGATCAGAGAATTGAAGGCACAGAGAGACAAGATCACCACACCTTGGTAACAGTGAGAAACACTATGTGCGGAGCAAGTCCCTCAGGGCTTGCTGCCTAGCTGGCAACAGCGAAAGCAGAAGCCCCCAAGCAAGTGGGATCTTTGTAGTCAGTCAGTCTCCATCTGCTGAGGTCAACACTGTGACAAGGAGACTCACTGAGGAGGTCCAGACCCCAGTGTGCAGGTTAGGGCCAGTCTAGGGGTCCAGCCTTCATCTTGCGTCCTCTAAGGGCTCAGTGGCATGTGGACAGCTCTATCCTGGGCTCTAGATCCACTCCCACGGTCTTCACAGTCTCCATTGGGAAATATGGCTGTCAGTGCAAGCTCTTCCTCTGAGGCCTGGGGGTGTTCTGGAACATTCGAGAATGAAAAGATGAAGTTTATGAATCAACATCCAAGCACTTCAAGGGAAGAAGTTGGCCCAAGGTCTATGTTCAAAGCCCCCCAAAAGGGCTGGTTGGATGGCTCAGCAGGTAAAGGTTTTTGCTGCCAAGCCTGACAACCTGAGTTTGAGTCCCAGAATTCACATGGTAGAAGTAGAAAACCAACTCCCTAAAATTTGTCCTGTGACCTCCACGTGCACACCACGGTGCAGACACATCAGAAATGTAAAGAGTCAAACAAATTACAGGTCTAAAACCATTTTTTTTAAAGACACACCCCCTTTGACCCAGCAAGCCCGTGTTTAGGTGTTTATGCAAGGACACACTTAGGAGTGTGTCACTGCGCTCCTGCCACCATCTTGTCACCAGTCTACGGGCCAGCGGAGAGAAAGAAAAGCCCCAGGTGCTGGATGGTGTCTGTGAGCTCCTGGGCCGATGCTGACCAACTTTAAAGCCAACTCCACTATTTTTATGAGAGATGATGAGTTTTCTTCCAGCTCATGCTGGCTGAGTTTGGGCTTCCCTGCCAACTGATCCTCAGTCAGCATCTGGGGAGCCACAAGGCGAACAACCCGGGGTTTCTATGTATCCTGGGGCTCTGCATTAAGAATGGGGCAGGGCGCATAGTTCAGTTGAGCGCTTGCCTAGCATGCATAAGGCCTAGGTTCAGTCCCCAGCACCACACCAACTCCTGGTGGCTGCCTGTAATCCCATTACTTGGGAGATGAAGGCAAGGGGATGAGAAGTTCAAGGTCACACACAGAAACACTGTGAGTTCAAAGCCAGCCTATAATGTCCAAGACAAGACAACATGTATAAAATTGTCAAGGAGTACATAAAGAATATTTTTTAAACAAACCAAATAAACAGCAAAAGGTTGTGCATGTAGCTCAGAGTGAGGTGATTCCCACAGAATCACAAGAAGGTGTCTTGTTTTGTTTAAAATAAAAGATGTTGTATAAAACCACACACACACACACACACACACACACTCGGGTCTTCAGGCTTCGTGGCAAGCACCTTTACCCACTGAGCCATCCTACTAGCCCAGTGTACGTTCCTTTAAGTCACTGTTTGTAGCAAATTATTAGGCAGTGAAAGAAGGCTCCGAGGACAGCGAATGGTCAGCTTTGAATAAGGGACACAATCAAAGCTTACTTTACAGCATCACTCATTGTCTGACTCCTAATCTTTCCATACCTCCATTTACCAGCAAGATGGCTCCACCCTGGAGTTACTGCTTGTCTAGTCTTAGAGCCTTTGTAGGTCCAGGTCACCAAATATCCCTCCAGGAGCTACTGTGGTCCCCTCCAGCTGGAACCTGCCTCTAATCTCTCTCTCTCTGTTTCCACTGCAATCTTTCTGCTTGTGTCTAAGACCCTGTGTCCCTGAAGGGCGTCCTGGCCCCCATGTGGCCCAGCTCTCCACTTCAAGGCCTTCCATTGCCACCTGCACCTCAGGCCTGAGGACCTCGGAGGGCTCGTCCTTTTCTGGATATATCCGCTGGCCAGCTTTGCTCAGGGTACTCACACACCACTAGTTCCTTAGCACTTACGGTTCTTCAGGGGACACTGGCCTGCCCCACACCCCCACTATGCATGTGGAATTCCTGTCCTATAGATCTCCTCACGTCTTCACCAGGTTGGAGAATTCTTAGGGCAGGAACTCTGCCTGACCCAGCCTGAGCCCTACTTGGAAGGACAGATACCCCGTGTCCCTGCTATTCTCAGCATGGAGACAGTGTGTCCCTAACGCCCCTGTATTCACTCAGGATCCAGGCAGCCAATGTACTTACCTTGAGCTGGGCCTCGGGAGGAGGTGCATCCTCCTCGGTTCTTCCTCTGGTTCCGAGGACCCCAGGAAAAGCAAGTCAGTAGGCCAGGGAGGCCCGGTCTTTCCCAGGCACCTTCTGCTAGAAAGAGTCCAAATCCCCAGGGCAGAGGTCAGCTAGTGCCTGCTTCAGAACCAAGAGGCTTTCTTCAATAACCCAGGACTCCTGACTTTCTACTGCCCTGCTTTCATCTGTCGGGTTATCTCACTTCCGACTCATACGTTTCTGTGATATGTGCACATGCTGGGGAAACCTTACCAACAAGATGACGTGAAATCAGTCACAGCTGCATACCACTAAAGTAAAGACCCAGAGCAGCCATTTCTCCTCCAGTTTTAGCTCCAACTCTCCCTTCCTTCCTCGTTTCCCTACCTCACTTCTTCATTTGTTTATTTGTCCATTCATTCATTTATTGTTGAGACAGGATCTCTCTATGTAGCATAGGTTGACCATGAACTTCCCATCCTCCTGTCTCAACCTCCCAAATGCTGTGATTACAGGTATGCATCGTTGTGCCTGAAAGGATGATACATCTGCTAAGGTCCCATTTTCTAGAGTGTTAACGTTTATTTCAAAGCAAGGATTTGGTCGTCCATCTTGGGTGCCAGGCAGGGAGTTAGGAAAGGGGAACCCGGGGGTTGTTAAACTCTCAAGAGGACAATGACAGAACCATGTGGTCATTGCTGAGAGAGCCAACGACCGACCGAAGGTTCTGTATTTCACTAGTGACTGCAAACAGGAGTGAGTGCATAGGATTTTCAGAAGGTTCCCTGAGGGAAGAGGTCCAGCTCTGAATGGAGGAGGGATGGGGTGAGCTGCAGAAAGAAGAGGAGAGGGGGTTTTCCAGGCTGGGTCACAGCCATGTGCACAAAACCATGGCTTGAGTTAGATGTGCCCGGTGGAAGGAGAGCTAAGAGAAGAAAGGCTTAGTGAGTTCTTTTTAGGTGCCAGCTCATTAGTCTGGGGAGAAGTTGTGTGAATTCCCTTCTTTCCCTCAAGGCCAGGTAAGAATCAACTGACCCGATATTATCAGAACAGGAATATATAGGGTACTTATTTCCCTCACTTTTCAGGATGCTGGAGGTTGTTCAGCCTCTATAGAAGAGAAACTGGGAGGCTAGGGGAGCCTCCAGTGAGAGAACTATTTTTGACAGGCTGGCAGGTGCAAGTGTGACATTTGGAACACCAGACAGTGTCTCCCCCATAAGAAAGGTCTGACATTTTCCAGTGGCTGGCTAATGACCAATAGCAAATGCCTCGGAACGCCCCAAACAGCCACTTACTAACTCAGATGTTTCCTATGGTAAAGAGTAGATTGAAAGAGAGTTAAGCAGTCCCAACCTCTGACCCGGCTCCACTGAAGGCCCACATTTTAATCCCACTACACGGCAGAATTCCTGCAAATTCTTCTGCCCTAGGACATCTGATCTGTCTGTGATGGAACAGCCCCCGGCTGGGTGATGTTCTCACACCCTTCTCTACACTTTGGGAGAGTGTGGAAGGAAACAGTGATCCGGTGATCCCCTGTCTCACCTGGCAAAGGCAGCCAGCGATCAATGGAGATGTATCCTAGGCGGGAAGCCAGGAATCACTGAGGTTACTGTGGTCTCTGTCCCTCGCGCCCTTCCCCACACCAGCTCCCTGGCAGTCTATTTCATGTCTGTGCCAGGGACCGTGTCCGCCTTTCACCCTTCCACGCCGAGCCTCCCAGCGCTTCTCACCCTTACTCCAAACGCCTGCACAGAGTCCTAAAGCTCCAGTCACTCTCCCTGCCCCTCCCCGCCTCCGTTCTTCACCATCCCCCACGCACACCACTCAAACTTTTGCACCCCGAGACTTTTCCATCTTCTTCCCCTATCCCCAGTCTTCAACTCCTACATTTTTGTTCAGAGCAATCCAGCCCTGTCATTTATTTACTGACCAGTTGTACCCTCAGCTCCTTGTCCCCCATCTCATGTTCAGTCGGGACCTGGCCTGACAGACCCAACTCCTTGTCCAGTGCCAGCTCACCTTAGTCTGAAAGGCCTTGTGCTCCGGGCTTCAGTTTACCTCGGTGCACAACAGAGTTGGGGTTCAACCGGTCTAAAGGGACTCAAGGCTTCCCCAGACGCCTTCATCCGTACCCAGCCCGACCCGCGCAGCCTCACCTGGTCGACCTGGCCCGGCAGCTTGCAGGGCCCTGCGGGCCGCCTCCTGGACCGCCAGGATGGAGGCCGGGGATCCGGGACGGAAGGCGGCAGCCTGCACCGGGCCCCCTACCTGGCGGCCGAACACCGTGCGCAGCAGCGTCTCCAGCAGCTGCAGTTCCGGCGCCACCGCGTCCTCCGCTCCCGAGTCGGCTACCAGGACGCCGACCAGCGCGGCGCCCTCCCGCCGCCGGCCTCGTACATCCCGCAGCATCTCCCGCAGGCGGCGCCGCGGCTTCCGGGCGGCCAGGGACGAGGCGCGGCACAGCACGAAGACGAGCGGCGAGCGGATGGCGCGCTCTGCCTTCGCCCCCGGAGCCCGATGCGGCCCGGTGGCTTCCGCGGTGCACGCGCTCTCGGTCTCTGCGCAGCTCTGCTTGCCTGGTTTGTTCAGCTTGCCCGGCTCCGGCCCCGGCTCCGGAGGGAACACGGCGAGGGAGAAGTCCCGCAGCAGCGCGCGGCTCTGCTCCCGCTCCCATAGCTCGCCCACCAGCAGCACCTGCCCGCGGCCGCCCGCAGCCTCCACCAGCGCCTGGAAGGACGGCTCAGCGGGGCTCGCCGGCTGCTGGGCTAGCGCCTCCAGCTCGCTCTCCATGCTGGCGGCCGGCTCCTGCTTGGCGCCCGGAGCTCCGCAATCTCCTCTACGGACACGCCCCCGAGGGCCGAGCCTCCCAGACCCCCGGCTCACTGGCTGTGCCCTGTACACTCCTGCCCTAGCACATTGAGTATCACTCACTCACTCACTCACTCACTCACTCACTCACTCACCCACCCACCCACCCACTCACTCATTCATTCACACACCCATTCCCATACATACTTACTGAGCACCTAGTGGGTGCAGGCTCTTGGGGAGCAGAGAGTGAGTGGACATTAACGTACTCACAAATGTACCGGCTAAGGGAAGACGGTTTTGAACGCCGGAGCAGATTTATTTATTTATTTATTTATTTATTTATTTATTTATTTATTTAATGTGTATGAGTGTTTTGCTTGTGCACTGGTACCAGCGTCTGATCACTGGAACAGGAGCTATGGATGGTTATGAGCAGACATAGGAATGCTGGGAACTCAACCCAGGTCCTTTGCAAAAGCAGTAAGTGCACTGGGTCATTGAACCATCTCTCCAGCCCTCCTCCCCACCCGCACCCCCCACCCCCCATGAGACAGGATCTCACCGTTCTAAGAATCTAGAGCTCCTTTAGCCTCAGTTTGGGATAACACGCCTGTGCCACCATTCCTAGCTTCTGGAGCTGATGCTTATTTTGGAGGAGTCCTACAGGGCTTGGGGTTAGGGGTTTCTTTTCCAGTGCTTTGCAATCAAGATGGAGCAGAAGAGTGGGTAAGACCAGGAGTGAGAAACGAAGCATGGCGTCCTAGTTTTCATTTCTGTTGCTGTGATAAAAATACTCTGACCACAAACAATTTAGGGAAAGAAAAGAAACAAAGGGCTTATTTTAGCTCACAGCTCCTGGTGGGAGCGCATCGCTGCAGCGAAGTGACTGACGGAGGAGCTCCAGAGCACTGGCCACCATCACACCCAGAATCAAGAGCCCAGAGAAAATAACACTCTACTTTGTATAATCACACCAAGGAATGGTGTCACCCACTCTTAGGCTGGGTATCCCCACATCATTTAAGTCAATCAAAATGATCCTGGACATCACCCTACACCCCCCTCCCCCGACTTGCTCACAAGCCAACCTGACCTAGACGATCCTACATTGAGACAGGTGATTCTAAATTGTGTTAACAACTAGAATCAACCATCACACAGGGCATATCTCCTCTACCCAGCTCTCATTTTTATTCTCTAACACTTCCTTCAAATGGACCAAGGTCACTATTTCTACAAGTACTTGTTGACCTCTGAATACTGCCTGATGTAGTGTGGGGCTGTTGTTCCCCATGAACCATAATCTAAAGCAATGGTTCTCAACTTGTGGGTTGAGACATCCCTGGTGGTTAAACAACCTTTTCACAGGGGTCACCTCAGTCCATAGGAAAACACACATATTTACATTATGATTCATCATAGTAGCAAAATTACAGTTATAAAGTAGCAAGTAAAATAATTTTATGGTGGGGGGGGTTACCACAACATGAGGAACTGTATTAAAGGGTCACAGCATTGGGAAAATTGAGAACCACTGATTTAGAGTTAGATGTGGGATGCTGGCATGCTCTGGAGTTGGGGTACATGTGTAGGTAGGTGCGTATCGTGTATGTATCTATGTCTGTGTGTCTGCATGTCTGAAAACCAGGTTAGAAGCAGGAACATTTCCTATGATTCTCATGGACCAGGGCAGCTTTGTCCAAAAGAACATCCTGTGAAATGTTTTTCCTGCCCTGTCTGTGCAAATGCAGTCGCCCCAGGCACCTGTGGTCATTATTATTGTACACAGAAGAAGAGCCGGTGCAAATGACTTTTACATGCTATTTAACGTCAATTTAAGTGGCTTGTGTCTAACCTCTTTATTTCTCCTTTCACTCACTGCATGGTAATTGACCCAAAGGCTGTTGGTATCAAGACTTTTTTTTTTTTTTTTTTTTTTTTTGAGGCAGGGTTTCTCTGTGGCTTTGGAGGCTGTCCTGGAACTAGCTCTTATAGACCACAGAGAACCACCTGCCTCTGCCTCCTGAGTGCTAAGATTAAAGGCATGTGCCACCATTGCCCGGTGGTATCAAGACATTTTAATGACCATATAATTTTAATTCACCATATAACCCAATTCTCTCTTTGAAATACCTTCTTCCCTACCCTTTATAACTATGCTACAGCATCATGGAGGGGTTTGCATGTCCATAAAATGAATCTTTCTTGGGTAGCTACTGTATGCATGAAGCAGTCAAAGGTGTCCAAGATGCAGCCCTTCCCTAAGTCTCATTGTCTAAGCAGTTGTTTTAGCTAGTATTTGGGAAGGCAACATATTTCTTCTCCTTCCCCCACCCCCATTCTTCTTGGTTTTTCACGACAGGGTTTCTCTGTGTATCCCTGGCTCTCCTGGAACTCGATTTGTAGAATAGTCTGGCCTCAAACTGAGAGATGCACCTGCCTCTGCTTCCCATGCTGGAATTAAAGGCGTGTGCCACCACCACCCAGCTAAGGCAACACACACACACACACACACACACACACACACACACACACACTGGTTCTCACTAATGGGTAATGAGACTCTTCCTTTGCAGACCGACTCTTGAATTCCCCTGGAAGGCTGCTATGATGTTCAAAGCAGAGGTCGGGACCTGGATGTTTAGAGATAGATGCAAGGCGGGGTTCCTTCACCAGGTCAGTGATGCAGTCACTTCACCTGTACAGACTGGGCACCCATGCTGGTGCTGGGCAGCATCTGTGAACAGGCAAGCTCACCTCTACAGAGATGGCAAGTGAGGGCTTGGGGGGGCACTCAGAGGCAGTAAACAAGTAAACACACAGCAGACAGTTTCAGATGTGAAAAAACAATATATAGCTGACAATGCAGCCCTGCTCCCTTCTGAGGGCACAACTCTGATACCCCAGGAGCAAGGGGTGAGTGAATAAGGACCATGACAAACTAATGTAGAAACAATAGGCACCCTGCATGCCCCCTACCCTGGGCAATAAAAGGGGTTAGGTTAAGAGAACTTGTCACAGTTGCCCACCCCACCCCATTCCTAGCTCAACATCCACTGTGATACCTGGAGACAGAACAAAGCTGTGCCATCCAGGAAAGGGATTAGAAACACAATGATGACATATTGTGTCCCCTCCTTTTACTGCACCGACCCTAGGACCCAGCTCCTGTGAAGAACAGTGGCCAGAGAGGGTGCTCAGGAATTACTGAGGCAAATTTATCTAGATAAGGAGGGCGCACATGAGTGTGGCCAAAACCACATAATGCCAGCAGTAACTGGCCAGCAGTAACTGAGCCTCCATTCCTTAAGCTTCCAGAAGTGATACAAAGTGATGCAGGCTTTAATCTTTTAGGTGCAACTGTTGCTAGCCTAGGCAGCTCACATCCAGGGAAACATGAGCTCACTGGAAACAAGAATTATCACTCTATAAAGGCTAAAACAGAGGAGACTTACAGGGCATAGAAACTAAGTTTCACCTCAGTGTAAATATCACACTGTAACAGTGGCATGCACAAATGAAAGTATGTTCCTTGTCTTACAGATATTTGGAAGTTGTCTTAGTTAGGGTTTCTGTAGTTGTGAAGAGACACCATGACCTTGGCAACTCTTATAAAGGAAAGCATTTATTTGGGCTGGCTCTCCTATAGTTCAGAGGTCTAGTCCATCATCATCATGGTGAGATATGGCAAAGTGCAGGCAGACATGGTGCTGGAGCATGGGCTGCGAGTTAATACAACTTGACTTACAGGAAGCAGGAAGTGGACTGTCTCACTGGATATGGCTTGAGCATATGAGACTTCAAAGTATGCCTCTACAGTGACACACTTCCTCCAACAAGACCACACCTCCTAATAGTGCTACTCCCTTTGGGGGTCATTTTCTTTCAAACCACCACAGAGGTATTCAGGAAGTGGCTAATAGAGAAGATCTCCCTTCCGTAGGTCTTTGGGGACTCCGCTTTTAGAGCAGTGATTATTCCATCATCATACCACCAAAATGGCAGCCAAAGCTCTAGTCCTCACATCTCCCTCTGAAAAGCTTGATGGTAGTACTGAAAAAAGAGCAAAGCTCAAACACTCCATTAACATAACAGGGGGTTGGGGGTATGTCTCAGCGGTGGAGGACTAGCACATACTCATCAATACATACATGTCTTAAAAAAGAAAAAGAAAGAAAACTGTGCCATTTAGTAAGGAAAGGAATATGAATGAATTAAAAGCTGCAGGTGAGAAGGTTGCAGAAACAGTAGCTATAATTGTCAGCCAGTTTAATACAATTAAGAAGAAACCTTGCCACTCACACTGAGATGATAGAGAAGGTAGCTTGACCCCACCTATGCTAGATCCCATTACAGATGGTTGTGAGCCACCATGTGGTTGCTGGGCATTGAACTCAGGACCTTTGAAAGAGCAGCCAGAGCTCTTAATCATTGAGCCATCTTCCCAGCCCCTTAAATATTTTTTAAAGAAAGATTCTAACTTGCGAAAATTCAAATTCATTTGAAAAGAGGGAGGCTGAACTTAGAATGCAACTAAAGGGATTCCATGCTTGGAGATAATCTATGGCTGGCTACCATTTGCTGTTAAGGAGCCCAGGGGGCACTATAGCTGTGGTAGCAGGAGGATAGACTACCTTTCACTATGGCATCAAGACCTTGGCATAGTCATCCACGCAGTGCTGGCTTTATACGCCTGAGGGGGGGGGGATGCATGAGTTACATAATGGAGGCTTATACCAAAGTTCCAGAAAGACATGAGACCAGGCAATGAGTGTCAGGGTCATATACCCTGCAACGAGATCACCCAGAAATTTCATAAAACTGTGAAGGTGAAGCCTTAGTTGCAAGGGGGGGGGGCATTTTGGAGATACCCACCAAGAAAAGCTACAAGCATAGAGTAGAACAGGCCTAAGGGAGGCTGTGTGTGCTGCAGTCGGCAGAACCTAAGAGGTGGTGCTACCAATGGCTGTTGGAGCCCA